CGTAGGGGATTAAATTTCTTTTATTTCGATGTTAACAATTAGCAACGAAATTAAATCCCACACGAAATTTTATATGAATATTTATTGAATAGGCTTACTCTCAAAACAACGAAATTAAATGCCCAGAAACTGTGTTTTATGACAAATAAACGAAATTTTATACCCATGAAAATTTGTGCTTCTACAGTAAGTGTTCAATCAAAATTCTGAATCTGGTCAATTAATGTTATCAAGTCATTTTCCAATACATTTAATTATTAAGTTACTAATAAAGGATACTGACCACTTCGTTATTATATATATTATTATAATTATTATATTTCATCAGTTTCAATTAAGCTGATATCGTCAAGCTGACCAATAATTCACAACAACGTATGCATCAATATTGACTACATCAAACACATAATTAGTAAATAGAAATAGAGTGCATAAGAACCTAAATGGTTCTCAAGGACATATAAGGATTATTATGCCTTGTACACATATGTCCTTATTAATCAAATATACGAAACACAACAAATATTAAAAAGTTAACATATATATTTAAAAAGTTAATATATAGTTTGTTTATAGGTAAGGTATGTCCCAATTGTGTTACAGGTGTTAATTTCAAACTTTAAGAAATTAATTCAAACTTCGTATAAGCATTTAAACGCTTTTGACAACTTATAATAACATTCACGATGGGTTTAATTTCGTGGGAAATTGATAGATCGCGAACATAGCGAAATTAAAACCATCGTGAATGTTTGCCAATCTACAGTATTTGGAGGTATGGTGGAGTATACGCTAGTATAAAAAAATTAAGAGAAAAAGAGAACATTATGATTAACCAATATTCAATTTAGTTAGATAATTTTATATATATCAGTTTGGTAATATCGTCTTATAAGCCTTATATGCGAAAAAGAAACTTTCTATCTTTTGAAATAAAAGTAAGATCCCATGATTGGCGACAATCCTTTTTATTCTTAATGTCCAGGGGAGAGGTCATGACCTTGACCTGATTTTGCCTTTAACATATATCTCTTTAGTGATATATAAATTATCGCTTGCTTCTGTGATAATTTTATATAATTTTTTTAATACAAGAAATATAAAAAAAATTCTTCTCAGCAGTATAGAAAATGTTAAATTGATTTCAAAATAAACTAAACTAATTTCTATTAAATTGAATGAAATAAAACTTTAAACATCAGCAAAACCGAAATTTGATGCGCTGATCTTAAATTCTACACGTGTAATTATGTTCCCCAAACGAATTTGGGGACCATATTATTTTTACTCTGTTTCGTATTATGTTCCCAAAACGAAGATGGGGAACATATTGTTTTTACTCTGTTTCTTATCATAATGTCGTCCCGAACGAAGTCGTGGACGACATATTGCGATTGTACGCATGTTTTTGTTGTCCAGGCGTTTTCTCGGATATGGCTGGAACAATCTTACTGAAACTTTCCTCACTGGTTGAAGTTGTGCCATGTGGTCATTCAGGTTCAAAATGGCTACCGTTGCCATGGAAACCTGCAAAAAGCGACGAATTTTGTCCGCGAGTGTTCTCTCTGGTACCTTGAACATTCTTCATGAAACTTTACTGATTTATTGATTAGTACCTGTCATTATGCCTGTTGCATTTAAAAATTGAAAATTGTCAATAGTTTCCATGGAACAGGGGAAAAGTGAAAATTCTTTAACTTTGAATTTTAAATCAAAGTACTGAAAGTACTGATAGGAGTTGATGGTTTTTTCCAAGCTTAATTAATGAGTATTGTTTTATTGATGAGAGAAAAATGATGGTTTTGTCCAGTGCGGGGCCAGATAAGCTATTGCTTGCAATAGCAGACTTTCCAGATATTATGTTCCCCAAACGGAGTGTGGGAACATATTGTTTTTACTCTGTTTCTTATTATTATTATTCTTTTTTCTTCTTATTTCACCCCGTGGGGATCCAGGTTAGAATAGTTCCTCAGTACCCACTTGCTTGTCGTAAAAGGCGACTAAATACGGCGGTACTTCGGATGAGTCCGTATTAACCGAGGCCCTGTGTCACAGCAGGTGTGGCACGATAAAGATCCCTCACTGCTCAAAGGCCGTAAGTGCCGAGCATAGGCTTAAATTTGCAGCCCTTCACCGGCAATAGTGAGGTCTCCATATCAGTGAACTATTCTGGAGAGGGACGTTAGACAGTATTCAATCAATCTTCTTATTTCTTCTTCTTTACCCCATGGCACCTGATGCCACCTATGATGTTTTGGAGCTCCATGTTTGTTCTGCTCCTTTTCTAGATTGTTCTGAATACTAGTAGTTATCTCCATATGTTTAACGTAGGTCGCAGGTTAAGAGGGCTTTTCAAAGTATTCGAAAACATATCAGGAGAATTACTTATATGGTTTCTGTACCTTTGATTTTCATTCTCTGAAAATTTTATAAAATTCGTCTGCGCCGTTTTTGTGTAATTGAATTCCAAAGATGTCATTGTTGTAGTAAAAGTTTTAACGGTATTCTATTGAATTGTATAGGAAAAACGTCGTTTTTGGCTTGTTTTCATGGAAGGTTTTGATTAAAAAAACATCAATAACTTTTAAATCGTGCAGACGAATTTGTTTACCCTTTGGTATTTAAAAATAAAATCCATTTGAAATAAATCTATGTGAAAAAAAATAATATGTCTTGGGGTTCATTTTCTCGTAGTTTAATTGTAGATATTTGCTTTTATATTGAAAAATGTAGCATTTTGAAGAACAACGTCAAAAAATGTCGCGACGTTACACTTGACGTCGTGAATATCGATCCGGTATACAGAGCAAGAACAAAAATTATACTGATTTTAAGAAAAAGGAAATTCACGTATATCTGCTTTCAAATGACCAGTATCATAATCATAATAATTCATTAAAATACTTCTCAGACATTTTTCTCTTTAAGCTTATTACGTCTTATATTAGTAAAAATTTGCGTAAAAGACGTAAACCAACAATCAGTCCTTAAATTTCTTTTGTATCTTTTCTTTATGTGTTTACTAGTATTTCTTACCGTTTCTTTTTTCCGTTGTTTTATTTTTTGTTTTTCTTCATGTGCGGATTCTTGCCGGAATCTGCAAAATAAAAGTGACCTTGTATTCCCTTCTGGAAGAAGGCAGAACCCCCATCCCCCTTGAAATCGTTGATCTCTGATCTAAGTTTGTTTGAAAAGTCATAGGTATGAAGATAATTTAGAAGTCAAGGACTACTACCCCCCCCCCCCTCCCAACCTTAAATATGTTTTACGCTTTAAATTTATATATCCTTTTTCTTTTTAGAATTCAGCAAGGCTATCAAATCAACAACAACTTCTAATAAATCAATTTCCGCCAGATATCCTCCCGAGTATAAGTATCTATTAATGCAGTCAATCTATATATTGAAAATGTTTTTATTTAAGTTTACAAACAGGCACCGAATAACTAAAATAAAATCCTAATTTGATTTTATTTTATGCTTATACGTATAAGGATAGAAAAAAGTGAAATTTTTAGTGGAGAAAATGGGACAATAATTTAAACATTAATTTTATTTGGCGTATTCAATAGGCAGATTTTATTTTGTTCTTAGGCTTTCAATGTATACATTTAATATTAATTCTACTGAATGAACATGGAAAGCAATGCAGCGAATAAAATATGTACATGTAACTAACAACAACGCACAGGCAATTTTGGTATCCCCCCCCCTTTCTGTTTTTCTGGGGTTTTCCTATTTTGGATGTTTTTAAGAATACGTATTGCATGTTATTAATACATGTAATGTTACCCTTTTATCTCTTTACGTTGTTTTAAATGCATGTATTTTGTTTTCGACTGATACATAAAAAGAGACGGCTTGCAATTTGTTTTTATTCTCGATGTCTGCCTCAGTTAATCTTCACTTGATCACTATCTAAAGCTTAGAGAATCATGGAATATGCAGACATCGATGAATTTGAAACCCACTCTTTTTCCTTTTCAGATTTCCATTTATATATTTCTTTATGTGCCTCCGATTAGTAAATATTTCGTTTAAATCAACGTGCACAAATAGGTTGGAGTTAAAATTCAAAAATAGGAAAAAGTTTACTAACCCCCGGCATTAAGAAGTAAAAAAGGAGCGGGGGGGGGGGGGGGCATATATTCTACTTGCCTGTGGTTATTTACAAGAGGTCACTGACGCTCAAAAATGTATTTAATTTAGTCTATGTTTCATTAGTATTACCCCGGTAGTGCCTTAGCAGTTGTTCATTTGTGATCAACCTGTATCTAGATTTGTCCCGGATTAGCACAAATACTTTTCATAATTGAGCTCGACTTTCCATTGGTGCATGAGCAGAGTTTTGACGCTGTTTACGGAGATAAATGAAAACAAAGACATGCATGCCATATCTATATGGTTGTGTTAATCTCCATAAATTATCGTAGAAGACAATATTAAAAACAGGTTGTTAGTGCTTAGTAATAAATTAATATCAATAAATCATATACATGATACAAGGGTTAAAATTTATTTCCGAAACAAAGGGAGGACTTGGAGATTCCAAAGATGGTGGCAATAAGATGGTTTGATATGCCTGACCTCAATTTCAGGAGAAATAGGCCTAGAGACATCCTGGTGCCACGGTTCTGTGTATTTCGAATGTCATTTGAAATAAAAGAATGGAGGTCTTCAAAATTTTTTTTTGGATATGCCGGTCAATGTTGTGTAATCTGCAGTGTTCATGCTTGATGGTTCAAAAGAAAATCTGCTAGTTGAATTTTAAATGGCATAATTTCTAATTTTCTGGATGAGTTCAAGAATTGTTGTTCTGTTGACAAGTGTTGATTCCACAGTGTGCAAATTGTCAAGAGCACCAGGCCTGAATTCCCCATCTTCAACTTGAGATGGACAGCATCTGCTTCCAGGTGGAATAATGACTTCTTTCTGCAGAAGAGGTAACAACAACAACAAGTTTGGGTCCTGGGCGCTTGCAAATGAAACAGTAAGCATGAGATGAAGGTGTTCTATGGATTGGTAACGATATGGAAGGTGGACTGGATATTCCTGATGATGATGATGGATTTGAAAGTTTTTGTGGAGGCTGTGACACAGGAAGTGGCCCAGATTTCTTTTGACATTTTTGTTGGTTACCATGGTATAGACGTCTGCACTTCGTACACAGAATGTCATTACTGTTCGCTTCACCAAGAAAGTTCTTGCGGAGAAAACGACGAATAGCTGAAGATTCACATTTCTTTCTGTCCTTTGGTTTTGTTCACTTCTTACATAGGATGCATGGGAAAGACTTTCCAATTTCTGTTATTTTCTTTTCTTGATTCATTTTTCCATGTTCTAAAAAAGAAAACATTAATTCTATTAACTAGAAAACTACATGTTTTTTTTTTTATTTTGACACTGAAAAAATATAATTACATTTTAGCAATTAGGTCAGAGATATGTAGTGAAAGTGGAATAGAATGTGACTGTTTGTTACTGATTATGTCAAAGATTCGTGGTTTTTGTTTGATAAAGAATTTCAAAATTTTCATATATAAATAGGATTTTGATTAGGAGAAATATATACTTAAAAATGATTTGAACATATATATTTTCTGCATATAATTAAAACTTATTCAACAGGTTATATTTATAAAAAAGATTGTAAGTTTGGGGGGGGGGGGATATTTAAAAACAAAATTATTTCCCCACACAGGAATCGAACCTGGGTCGCATGATTTCCAAGCGGACGCGCTACGCTCTAGCTACAGATGTCATCTGCTAAAGAGTGTTTATATGTTTTATAGTAGAATAGTTTGAATGTAACAAACTGATAAGTTTGAAGTTTTTGGTAATAAATGGCCCTAGAATGTTAATTGTGTGTGCTTTTATTTGATTTATTTCCTTTTATATTTTTTATTTACATTACATACCTAGAAATATTGTGTATGTGTTATATTTAAATGGATCTGATAGGGTTTCGTAGTTCCCAGTCAACGCACCCTCTGATCTAAAAAATCTATCTACAGTTTTGTTTCTTTATGAAAGAGATTTAATGGTATGTCGTTACATTTTAGATCAGAGGTTGCGCTGTATATGAAAAACATGACTGAAATAGAAAAAATAGAGAATTTCTGCAAAAACCCGTTCGTTATCGGTTTTGTCTCTTATTCAAATCAACAAGCTGACGTTTTGGCGGATAAATTTTGGTGTGTTGGGATAGTATCAACAGTGGATTAACCCTTGATAATAATTTTATTTCTATTCATTCTACTTTGAAAATTGAGAAATCACAGGGCCAATATGACGAAACATGGTCTTTGTTCTTTAAATAATATGTATAAATTAATTTAAATCTATGTTTTGAATATATCTACCCCTGTTCAATCAAAGAATAAGATTCATTCATCATCAAGTTAGATTTGATCTATTTTTTCTTAGCAGAGAAATTACCGACTTATAACGTATAGGTTTGTTTCTTGTCTTTTCGATCAAAAATTAACTGTTTGTACTGATTTTCTTTTTTAAACAATGCAGGTGTCTACTCTAAATATTGAATTACTGGTAAGTAATTCAATGTCTTAAAGAAATGCTCTCGGGCATCTGTAAAAGTCATTTACTTGTCTGTACCCCTGCTTAGGACTTCCGGTTTCTTTGATCATAAAGGAGTTACTCTATTGAACGGAACAGTGTTCAATACATAAACACACTGCTCACTAACCCGATTACCAGTCATTTTGACAAAACTATATATGTACTTGTAATATACCACTTTTCATAATTATTTATTTTTGCTTTAATCTTAGAAAAAGTTTGTGCATTTCAGTACGGTATTGACAATCTTAAATATAGAAATATAAAAGTAGGGGAAGGGGGTACTATTTGAACAAATTTTAATCTATACTTCCTAAGGATGCTTTTTTCCCTTGTTATGATCCACTCTAAATTGTCTCTAATGGCTCCTCCATTCCCTCAATTGTCACAATATGAACAGGTTCTAATTAACATAACCTTTTTTTATTCTTACTTGTTGAGGATCAATCATGGTTTTTTTTTTTTTTTTTTTTTTTGAAGGATTTTGACAATTTTTCTATGTATTCCTACGTAAGACGTTATTCCTTGTTCACCCATTGTGATCAGACTCTTCCCCAGGGGGGTCATGATTTGGATGCTTCCATATTATTATGACCAATTAAGTCTTTGATGTTCTTGAGAAGAAAAATTGTAAAGATTATTGTCCTTGCAATTCTACTTTGATCATCCATTCTTGCCTCAACCTTACCCTGGAGATTTGAATCTACATTACCAGGGGATGTTTCAAAATCTATAACTATGACAAACATTGGCTTGGCTAGTGCTGTTCCTTAGAAGATTTTCAAAGATTTTTCCCTATGTATTTCTTATGTAAAATTTTGATCCCCCAATGTGCCCCCAACCTTCCCCCGGGGGTTACGATTTGAAGAGACATAAATTAACATTAACAAAGGATACTTCCATATAACTATGACAACTCATGCCTTTATTTTTGTTCTTGAGAAAAAGATTTTTCTAATTTATTATTATTAGTACTTAATTTTGATACTCATTGTGACCAAACCCTACCCCCGGGGTCATGATTTTAACAAATTTGTATCCTCACTATCAGAGGATGCTTCTACATTAGTTTCGTCTTTCCTGACCCAACGGTTCTGGAGAAGGAGATTCTTAAAGATTTTTCCTATGTATACCTTATGTAAAACGTTGGTCAGCCATTGTGGCCCCACCCTGTAAGGGAAGATGAAGGGTAAGGTGGGAAGTTGCTACCTGCGTATTTCCTTGTGATTCTTTTCAATGTACTTCACCCTGGATTTATTTTCTGGTTATAAAAGACCTTATTAACAATCTAACATATCCAAAATATGTGTTATTTCATGGATTTTTAGTTTTAGTGCTGTTTATTATACCCATATATCTCAAAAATAACTCTTTCTTTTAAATGTATTCTTAAAATTCTTTATGAGATTGTTTCTCATTAGGGTTAGGATTTGATTAATATTTAGATCGATTTATTTTGTGTCTGATGCCATTGACTTTGAATTGCTATTCATGAATATGAGCTCTCTAATACGTTTTACCGTTCACTCTAGCTCAGTCGATAGAGCGCTTGCTCCGTGATCGGGAGGTCGTGAGTTTGTATCTCGGCCGCGATTGACCTAGTCATTAAAATTGGTAGCAACTGTTCCTTTGCCATGCGCTGGGCACTTTGAAGTGAAAGTTGCGGGTCCTTCGGATGAGACCTTAGGGTCCTTCTGATGAGACCTTAAAAACCGAGGCCCCGTGTCAGCGGTGGGAGTTGGCACGATAAAGATCCCTCACTGCTTAATGGCCCAGAGTGCCGAGTAAAGGTCAAAATTTTAAGCCCTTAACCGTCATACGGTGACGCCTCCATATGAGTGAAAAATTCTCGAGATGGACGTTAAACAATATACAATCAATCAATCAATCAATCTTACACGTTTTTATTTTCATTATAGATGAAAACCCTTATCACTTTTTATGGGAATTTCAGACAGGTAAATAAGCATGCTCCTTAAATTTAATTTTACTTGCATTTGAAGTTCCTTAGTTCCATTATTTCAGTGAATTGATTTTTTTATCGAAATAATAACAAAACTCTACTGATAATATCGAAGGAAATGTAACTTTGTATATGTAAGGGAAGTTTTCAAGATCGAAAATGAAGTGTTTTCTTTTTTTATTATAGATGAAGAACCCAATTCCTCCGTGCAGGACTTTGAGAAAGGTAAATGAACATGTTCCTTTAATGTCATTTAACATTCTATATGGGAATGGAAAATTCAAAATGTGTTTTTTTTATCAAAACAATAACAAAAATCTACTGATAACATCAAGCGATATTTCATGTATAAGGGGAGTTAAAATGTAAGTTAAGGAGGAGACGCTTGCGTATTTGCTTGTGTGTCTGTCTTTATATACCTCGCCCTCCTCGATATCGATGTTTTTTCTGATACATATAACAAACCATATTTACCACAAGGAAGTACCAATGACTCTATGATATTACTGATTAGAACAAAACTCAAATAAAAGGTGTGACTGATCGACCGATATATCTTATATCACCTATTGCTTAATTAGGTCTTTCCACCTTTCTGTGGAAAGACCTATTGATTTGCTTATGTTTATTAGGTCTTTCCACCTTTCTGTGGAAAGACCTATTGATATTCTTCTGTTTATTAGGTCTTTCCACCTTTCTGTGGAAAGACCTATTGATTTTCTTCTGTTTCTTTTTTTTATTATTTTTTATTATTTTTCCGCCGTGTGATTTTGAGTTTCAAGATTTATCGAAAAGATTTTTAGTCCATAAGAATGTACTTCATAAAAGATTTTCGCAGTTCACCCTGCGTATATGAACTTTGATCCCTTTCGGAGTTATTACCCTTTTCGCAAGAAAGCTTGTTATCGCTACTCCTCCGAAACCATAAACCGTAGAGAAATGAAACCTTCACTATTGTCTTTGACTAATTTAGTAGACACTCCAGTGATTTATTGTGAAAGTAATCATTGACCCGTTCAAAGAGTTATTGCCCCTGAAACTTTTTGAATTTTACAAATAATTAAAAATTTTCAAAACCAGAAGTCGTAGAGACATAAGACCAACTGCATAAGATTTATTGACCTTTGACCTTAAAATTCATATAAAGGTCAAAGGTCAAGGTCATTCCAAAAATGAGAAAATTAGCTCTTTTTGTATTTCTTTTGTCTTTCAACATATACTTAATGTCTATGTGTCATTAATATGTACTCTTAAAACTGTTTCAAAGATTTCATTCTTGTCCCCTAAGATTAAACCTTTCCAAAGTTATTGCCCCTTATGCGAAAAACCTTGTTATCTCTACTCCTCCGAAACTGTAGACCCTAGAGACACCAAACCTTCACTAATGTCTTAAGGGTCTTTAGACCTAACTTCACTGTATAAGTGTTAAAGAATCTGATGACCCCTTATATGAGTTATTGCCCTTTAACTTCTTTATACTTACTATCAAACCTTGTATCTTGAAAACTATAAATGGTAGAAGCCTGGGGTTAATTGCGTTGTGACTCTTGACCTTTGACCTTGAATATTTTGTCAAGGTCAAAGGTCAAGGTCATTCCAAAAATGAGAAATTAAGCTCTTTTATATATCTCTTTTGTCTTTTAACATATGCAATCAGTCTTTGCATCATTAATATGTAATCTTAAAACTATTTCAAAGATTTTATTCTTGTTCCCCAAGATTGACCTTATCAAAAGTTATTGCCCATTATGCGAAAAACATTGTTATCGCTACTACTTCAAAACCGTAGACCGTAGAGGCTTGAAACCTTCACTAATGTCTTAAGGGTCTTTTAGCACACCTTCATTGTTTAAGAACTAAAGGATCTAATGACCCCTTATATGAGTTATTGCCCTTTAACTTCTTTGCAATAAACATTTAAACTTATAAGTGTAGATCTAAAAGTCGTAGAGGCATGGGGTCAATTGCAATGTGACCGTTGACCTTTGACCTTGAAGATCTTATCAAGGTCAAAGGTCAAGATCATTTCAATTTTTTTTTTTTAAATTTTCCTTTACTTTTTTTTAGCCATTTCCCTTAAAATTAAATTAGAGAGTAAAATATAAAACTATAAGAAATTTAAAAAGGTGGAAAGACCTCTTATTGTTCTGTGAACAATAAGTCTCCTAGTTATTATTCTTTTTTCTTTTTTTTATTATTTTTCCGCCGCATGTTTTTTTGTTTGAAGATATATCGAAAAGATTTATAGTTCATAGGAATGTACTCCGTAAAAGATGTTTGCAGTTGACCCTGCGTAAATGAACCTTGACCGCTTTCGAAGTTATTGCCCCTTTCGCAAAAAATACTTGTTATCGCTACTCCTCAGAAACCATAAACCGCAGAGGTATGAAACCTTTACGAATGTCTTTGACTAATTAAGGGGACTCTTCAATCTATTCATTGCAAAAGTATTCGGTGACTCCTTCAATGAGTTATTGCCCCTGAAAGTCTTAAAGCTGACAAGAAAAATTAAAAACTTTTTAAGGACAAGTGGTAAAGATATGGGACCAAGTGCATGAGATCTTATGACCTTTGAACTCGAAAAGTAGGTCAAGGTCAAAGGTCAAGGTCATTGGAAAACTAGAGAAATGGTCGATTTAAGCTTAAAATCCAAATGACCTTGACCTTTGACCTTGAAATTTGACATTGACCTTTAACTCTGACCTTGACCCTTACTCAAAAGGTAATAAAGAAATATTCATTACCTTTATCTAGATTCAGCTCCAAGTGTTAATCTCAAGTTTAACTCTCTCTCTCTCTCTCTCTCTCTCTCTCTCTCTCTCTCTCTTTGGATGACCTTGACCTTTGACCTTGATAAATGACCTTGACCTTTGACCCCATTGACCCAAAGGTCACAATCAAGCTAAAGGTCGTGGAGGTATTTACAACCATCACTCTAACAAATGCTTATAAAATAACCCCCCCCCCCGCCCTTATAAAAAAAAAAAATAAAATCAACACCAACTTAGAGAAAATGTCTACAAGTCAAACGAAATGAAATATCAACATAAGATTCGTAATAAAAGGAAGAAAAGACCTGAAAGAAAGTGTCCTGAGAGTTTTAAGGTGAGTCTCTAAAGTACAATGAAATTCTAGTGAATATCGGCAAAATCTGCATTTTTTTTCTGTCTGAAATTAAGTTACTGCTGTGCATAAAAATTAATTAAAGCTCGTATTGGCTATTTCTGCAATTATTGTTAATATCATTCGATTCTCCTGCTCTATTACGACATTTTAATGCCAAGTATTCTTGCTTTCTTAGGTGTATGGAATTTATTTTAATTTTATTTAGATTTAGATATGAATCGGCTGAAACTCGGAAATAGCGATTTTTCATATAAAATAAATTTGCACGCTCTCCGTGACACCGTCTTCTTCATGAAATGCATGTTTCAAGTTTAATTTATGCTCATAACTATGAATTCAATGCAAATAGAGATGATTATTTAATCTAACCTATGAGTTCGCCATTTCTGTCAAAACGAACGCGCCTATATTTTCACAAATTGTAAACACAGTGCCGACACGGAAGTTCGAATGTATCATAAGCTCTGTATGATTAACTCAATCTATTCAAACTATAAACGAACTTAAATGATTTTTTTTTACAGGAAATCTCTATTTTCATTATCCACCAATCGTTTTTCTCGAAACTATTCATTATTCCTCTCTATGTTCCATAACAAACAAATAAATACACGTGTTTCTGTACTATTTTTATTTAAATCCACGTGCTTTCATTTCTTTTTTTTCTTCACTCTTAGTTTACGGAAAACAAAGTCATCGGAGCCTGTGGTGTAGTGCGTAGAGCGCTCGCCTGGCAATCTGAGGGCTGAGGGTCCACAGTTCGAATCCTGCTGGCAGCACTTATTAATTTTTTTTTTTAATTTATTTATTTTTTTTTTTTTTTTTTCAAATGACATGAAAACTTAAAAGAAAGGTGGAAAGACCATTAATTGTTCAGTGAACAATTAGTCTACTAGTTATTAGGTCTTTCCACCTTTCTGTGGAAAGACCTATTGATTTTCTTCTGTTTATTATTATTCTTCTTATTATTTTTCTTCCGCTGATTTTTTGTTTAGACATTTATCGAAAAGACTTTTTGTTCATCGTAGAGGTAATTAAAAGTTAGGAACAAATTTGACCCAATGCGTATGAACTATGACCGCTTTCCAAGTTATTGCCCCTTTTGCAAGAAATGCTTGTTATCGCTACTCCTCCGTAACCGTTAACCATAGAGGAATGAAACCTTCACTAAAGTCTTCGACTTCTTGAGAGGACTCTGGAATCTATTCATTGCGAAAGTATTCGGTGACCCCTGCAATGAGTTATTGCCCCTTAAACTTTTTAAATTTAGGAAAAAATTAAAAATTTTCAAAACGAGAAGTGATAGAGACATGGGACCAACTGCATAAGACTTATTGATCTTTGATCATGAAATTAAGGTAAAGGTCAAAGGTCAAGGTCATTTCAAAATTAAGAAATTAAGCTCTTTTTTTATCTTTTTTGTCTTTTAACATATACAAACTGTCTTAGCATCATTAATATGTACTCTTAAAATTATTTTTAAGATTTAATTCGTATTCCTTAAGATTGACCCTATTAAAAGTTATCGCCCTTTGTACGAAAATTCTTGTTATCACTACTCCTTCGAAACCGTAAACCATAGAAATATGAAACCTTCACTTAAGTCTTTGACTAATTGAGAGGACTCTGGAATTTATTCATTGCGAAAGTATTCGGTGACCCCTTCAATGAGTTATTGCCCCTGAAACTTTTTTAATTTTAGAAATAAATAAAAATTTCAAAAAACGAAAAGTGATAGAGACATGAGACCAACTGCATAAGATTCATTGACCTTTGAGCTTAAAATTCATGTTAAGGTCAAAGGTCAAGGTCATTCCAAATTTGAGAAATTCAGCTCTTTTTATATTTTTTTTTGTCTTTTAACATATACAAACTGTGTTAGCATCATTAATATGTACTCTTAAAATTATTTTAAAGATTTCATTTTTGTTCCCTAAGATAGATCCTATTAAAAGTTATTGCCCCTTGTGCGAAAAACCTTGTAATTGCTACTCCTTGGAAATTGTAGACAGTAGAGACACCAAACCTTCACTAATGTCTTTAGGATCTTGAGGCATAACTTCACTGTATAAGTGCAAAAGAATCTGATGACTCCTTAT